AGGTGGCAAAGTTTACATGATTCCTGGTTAGGTTAGGCTGCTGACCAAGTCAGGGAGATCACTGGAGCCTTAAATCACCCACAGCTGCTGAGCTACCAACTCCTTTTAAGCTGGTAGTTAAAGTTAAGTGGATTTTAAAGCAGCTTGATCCTTGTCACTGGTGCTCTCTGGTGCCCAAGGATAGAACTACAAGTGCCTGTGTTTCGTTGTAAAGCATATTCTCCTGCCTCCTCTTCCACTTACTTTCCAATATGATCCATCCTATCCACTCTTCACCACTACCTTCATTACAAGATGGAAAATGAAACATATATTTTTTTCACAAGTCCTTCCAGCTTGGTATTTACTTGCTATGTAATCAGTGCTCCATAGACTATTGCTCTATAGACTCATGAGAGCCATAGCATCTCCCAGTACTGAGTTGAAATTTTGAGTTGGCAGAGACTCAAAGGAGAGAGTGCATCCAGCTCCCAGGATCACCACAAGGAGAGAACCAATGACCTCAACTGCCATGTGGGTTGAGAGAAGCACTGCTAGAACTTTGTTGGGAAACTTGGAAGTGTTCCAAAACACCATTATTGTTACTGTCCCCTCCAGGATGTTTGCAGCTGGAGTCCTCAGCTCCTGTTTCCCTCATCTCATTGCAGTTAGTCACACTGCTTTCATTCCTATGTATATGTCTCTCTGCAGGTGACTGTCAAGTACCTGCTGCCAGAAATCAAGCCTCAAGATGCCAGCAAAATCTGTGTGGTCATTGACTTGGATGAGACATTGGTACATAGCTCCTTTAAGGTCAGTCCATACCCCAAGCATCCTTTCATACATGTGTGAGTACACGCACATACACCATTCCCTTCCCCATTGCTTCTTTGAAGTAGGTAGTCCTTTGTTTTCTGTTTATTTGTAAGAGAATTATGTCCCACCTTTCCATGATGCCAGCTCTTCTCAACTTGGTGTCAGATTCCAACTCCCACTGTCCCTGACACTGGCCATGCTGGGAAGTGAGAGGCCAGCAATATCTAGAGAGCTGCAGCTTTCTCTTCTGTGCAGTAAACAGGGATTTGGGGTGCTCTTCTCTTACCTCAATTCTCCACCACCCTCCTCCCTTGGTCCATAAAGGTGGGAAGAGGGAGTTCCTTCGTCCTCTTTCCAATCTTCCCTTCAAATTAGGCTTCAAGCAGGGCTGGCCCTACTATTAGGCAGAGTTAGAGTGGGCTGCCTCAGGCAGTTGACTTTAAGTGTTGTGAAAGGTCAGTGAATTGCGTCAAGTTATTTTTACTGAATTTTGGTTCTCCAGAGAGGGGGGGAAGAGAGAATTTTCTGTCACAGGTTCCAGTATCCTTAAGTATTGTACATCTTGACTTTGTGAGGACATTGGTGAGAAGGCCATCTCAGGAATCAAAATGTATTGGACTAACCCTAGCTGCAGCCTTCTCATCCTCAAAAGGCTTTTCCTGTCAATATGTGATTTTGATGGCCTGAAAAAAGTGGCTCAGATCGATTAGCATTAGGAATTAGGAATGACAATTGAGAGAATATCAGAAAAAGTCCAGCTCAGGGATGATCACTAGAGGAACAAAACCTCCTTCTTCTTCCCATCTAGTAGATTTAGCATGCTCGTTTTAAGAACCTGGCAGGATTTTCTGGTAGGAGACCCATTTTTTAAAAAGCAGAAAAGGAAGTGAGAACAGCAGCAGAATAACAAGCAAATTAATTGGCAGCAGCTGGGAAAGGTAAACTGTAGTGTCTTGATCATGCCAGCCCACCAGGGCATTTTTAATCTACATCATTGCTAGCCTCTTTAAGGTACATTTT